AAAAAACCCCAAAATTTCAACCCCAAAACGCCCAAAAATCCCCAAATCCCAAGAATCCTAAAATCTCAAATTCAAAATATCCCAAAACCTAAAAACACAAAAATCCGAAAAGCTCAAAATAAGAACGATCCCCAAAATCCCCAAATCCCAAAAGCCCAAAATCCCAACCCCAAAAATCCCAATAACAAAATCCCAAAAATCCCAAAATCCCCAAAATCCCCAAAATTCCAACCCCAAAACCCCCAAAATCCCCAAAATCCCAGCCCCAAAAATCCCAAAAATTCCAACCCCAAAATCCCCAAAATCCCGGCCCCAAAAATCCCCAAAATTTCAACCCCAAATCCCCAAAACCCCCCAAAAAATCCCAAAATCTCAAAAACCCAAATCCCAAAATTCCAAAAAATCCCAAAAATCCCAAAATCCCAAAATCCCAAAATCCCAAAATCCGAACCCCAAAAGGGATCAAGACCCCAAAATCTCAGGGGGGTTTTGGGAGTTTTGGGGGCCTTTTTGGGGTGGTTTTTGGGATATTTTTGGGGGTTTTGGGGCTGATTTTTGGGGTTTTTTGGGGGAATTTTGGGGATTTGGGGCTGATTTTTGGGGAATTTTGGGACAATTTTTTGGGGGATTTTTGGGGCAGTTTTGGGAGGTTTTTGGGGGTTTTGGATCTGATTTTTGGGGATTTTTTGGGGCCTTTTGGGGATTTTGAGGAGATTTTTGGGGGCATTTTGGGGAAGATTTGGGGGATTTTTTTGGGGGTTTTTGGGGGGTTTGGGGGCAGTTTTGGGGATTTTGGGGCTGATTTTTTGAGGGGCTTTTGGGGCAGTTTGGGGGAGAAGTTTTGGGGAGATTTTTGGGGGATTTTGTGGCTTTTTTGGGGCAGTTTTGGGGGGATTTTGGGGGCAATTTTTGGGGGAATTTTAGGGGATTTTGAGGCTGATTTTGGGGGGATTTTGTGGCTGATTTTTGGGGGATTTTGGGACAATTTTGTGGGGATTTTTGGGGCTTTTGAGGCCTTTTTGGGGAAGTTTTTAGGGCATTTTTGGAGCAATTTTGGGGGGAATTTTGGGGGTTTTTAGAGGGGATTTTGGGGTCTCTCGGGGCAGTTTTTGGGGTTTTTTTGGGGTTTTTGGGTGGAATTTGGGCCCCTCCTCACCGCACTCCTTGAGCGGCTCGTCGGACCAATCGCGACAGTGGCGCCGCCCATCGCAGACCTGCGCTATCGCGATACATTCACCCGAGCGGCAGCGGAACCAGTGCGGGGCGGGGCACGACGGGGCTGGGGGAAAGAGAGACCTCCAAATATCACCAAAATCCCCCCAAAATCCCTCCAAACATCTCAAAAAATTCCCCAAAAATAGCTAAAAATCCCCTAAAAATCTGCTAAAAATATCCCCGAAAATTCCCCGAAAATTTCCCAAAAATTCCCCAAAGGGTTCCCCAAAAATCCCCAAACATATCCCTTAATATCCCCCAAAAAATGTCCCTAAAAATCCCCCAAAAATCCCTAAAATCCACCCAAAAATATCCCTAAAAATCCACCCCAAAAATATCCCCAACAATCCCTAAAATCCCCCCGAAATTTTCCCCAAAATCCCTGAAAATTTCCCAAAAATTCCCCCAAAAATCCCCCCAAAAAATCCCCCAAATTCCCAAAAATCCACTCAAGAAATCCCGAAAAATCTCCTAAAATTTCTCAAAACTTCACCCAAAAATTACCCCCAAAAATCCCCAAAATTTTCTAAAAAAAATCACAGAAAATTTCCCAAAAAATCCCCAAAATTTCCCCAAAACATCCCCAAAAATTACCCTAAAAATCCCCCAGAAAATCCCCCCCAAAAATCCCTAAAAATCCCCCCGAAATTTCCCCAAAATCCGCCCGAAAATTTCCCCTCAGGTGGCCCCGCCCCTTCCCCCTCACGTGGCCCCGCCCCCCTCCCGTGGCCCCGCCCCTCCCTCACCCTCGGGACACGCCTCCTCGTCGTCTCCATGGCGACAGTCACGTGTCCCGTCGCAGGCGCGCGCCGCGGGGATGCAGCGCCGGTCGCGACAGCGGAACTGCCCGGGGGGGCACGGCGGGGCGGGGCTAAAGGGGAAAGGGGGCGGGGTTAAAGAGAATGGGCGGGGTTAGAGAGAAAGGGGGCGGGGTTAGAGAGAAAGGGGGCGGGGTTAGACTGGGGTCCCTCCCAGTCCATCCCAGTTTGATCCCAGTCCCTCCCAGTGTAACAGAATCCCCTCCCAGTCCCTCCCAGTTTGATCCCAGTTTGATCCCAGTCCCTCCCAGTTTATCCCAGTTTGATCCCAGTTTATCCCAGTTTATCCCAGTCCCCGCCGCACTCACCGCACCCCTCCTCATCGGAGCTATCGCGACAATCGGCGACGCCGTCGCAGGCGCCCCCTCCTGGCCAGTCCCTCCCAGTTTGATCCCAGTTTGATCCCAGTCCCTCCCAGTTTATCCCAGTCCATCCCAGTCCCTCCCAGTTTATCCCAGTCCCCCTCGCACTCACCGCACCCCTCCTCATCGGAGCTATCGCGACAATCGGCGACACCGTCGCAGCGCCACCTGCTGGCCACGCACTCCCCGGAGCCGCAGGGGAACTGCAGGGGGGGGGCAGGGCGGGGGGGGGCGGGGCGTCCCGCACAGCTCCTCCCCCTCGTCGCTGCCGTCGCGACAGTCGCGATCGCCGTCGCAGCGCCACAGGCGGGGCACGCAGCCGCTGTCGCGACAGCGGAACGAGGAGGGGGGGCAGGGCGGCGTGGGGGGAGGGGCGCAGCCCAGCTCGTCCCGCCCGTCGGGACAATCGCGGTCGCCGTCGCATTGGAAATGTCGCGATAGGCACGAGAGGTCCCCGCACTGGAAATGGTCGGGAGGGCACGGGGGGTGCGCTGGGGGGGGGAATGATTTGAATAAATTTGAATAAATTTGAATGAATTTGAATAAATTTGAATACATAAAAATTAAATGAAATAAAGTAAAAAAAATAAAATAAAATGAATTATAATTAAAATAAAATGAAATGAAATAAAATAAAATAAATTACCATAAAAATGAAATTTAAAAAATAAAATAAAATAAAATAAAATAAAATGAATTACAATTAAAATGAAATGAAATGAAATAAAATAAAATAAATTACAATTAAAATGAAATTTAAAATAAATAAAATAAAATAAAATGAATTACAAATAAAATAAAATAAAATAAAATGAATTACTATTGAATGAAATGAAATAAAATAAAATGAATTACAATTAAAATGAAATGAAATAAAATAAAATAAATTAAAATGAATTACAATTTAAATGAAATAAAATAAAATAAAATGAATTACAATTAAAATGAAATGAAATAAAATAAAATAAATTAAAATGAATTACAATTTAAATGAATGAAATAGAAAAAGTAAAATAAAACAAAATAAAATACAATTAAATTAAATAAAACAAAATAAAATAAAAATAAATAAAAATAAAATAAAAATTAAATAAATAGAATAAAATAATGAAATAAATACAATAACATAAAATAAATTAAAATACATTAAAAAAATCAAATACAATATACATAAATTAAATTAAATAATTTAAAATAAAATAAAACAAAATAAATCAACCAAAAAAATTAACCCCAAAATAGTTCAAATAACCGAAAAAAATTGAGAGAAAATAACCCAAAATAAACAAAAAAATGGGGGGAAATAGCTAAAAAGCCAAAAATAAAATAACCCCAAAATTAAAAATATTCACCTAAAACAGCTGAAAATTAACCCCGAAAATGGGGGAAATAATAAAAAATAAATTAAATAAATAAAAAAAAGTCCCAAAAATGAAAATTTTCCGATTTTTGGGATATTTTATTCCAATTTTTGGTGAATTTTAACCCAATTTTGGTGAATTTTATTCCCATTTTTTGGGATTTTTATCCCAATTTTGGGGGATTTTTATCCATTTCTCTGGTTTTCATCTCCATTTTTGGTTTTTTATCCAATTTTGGGATATTTTACCCAATTTTTGGTTTTTTTATTCCCATTTCGGGATTTCCGCTCCACCCTCGAAACTTCCTCTGGAATTTCGGAGTTTGACCCCAACTTTTAGGGCGGCTCCGTTTCCGTTTTTCACCATTTTTAACCCAATTTTTTTGTCCCTCTCCCGTTTTTGGCTTCTTTCCCCTCATTTTTATATTTTCCCCCAATTTTTGGTGGTTTTATTTCGATTTTTTGGGGGTTTTTCTCCATTTTTTGGGGTTTTTATTCCGATTTTTTTCCCCCATTCCGGCCCCACCCGGGCGCGCCCTCCCCGCGCGCCGCGCGCTGATTGGCTGCCTCAAGCCACGCCCCCGCGGGTGGCCAGTCTGAGCTCAGCCAATCATAGGCGCGTCCGTCCAGGGGCGGGGCGAACCGCGCGCGCTGATTGGTTCATCGCGGGGTGGGTGGGGATGAGGGGGCGTGGCCTCGGATGGGGTGGGGCGGGGTCGCGACACGTGGGGGGGACCCGGGGGGGAATTTGGGGGGTCCTGGGGGGGATTTTAGGGGAATTTTGGGGGGATTTGGGGATTTTGGGGGTCCTGAGGGGATTTGGGGGGTCCTGCATTGATTTTGAGGCTCCTGGGGGGGATTTTGAGGGGATTTTGGGGGTCCTGGGGGTGCTTTGGGGGTCTCGGGGGGAATTTCGGGGGATTTTGGGGGGTCCTGGAGGGGATCTGGGGAGGCCTGGGCAAATTTTGAGGGTCCTGGGGGGGTTTTGGGGGGATTTTGGGGGTCCTGAAAGGTCCTGAGGGGGATTTTGGGGGGACTTAGGCAGATTTTGGGGATCCTGGGTGGAATTTAGGGGGGGATTTGGGGGTCCTGGGGGGTCCTGGGTTGATTTTGGGGGTCCCGGACGAATTTCAGGGGGAATCTTGAGAGGGTCGCAGGGGCGATTTTGGGGGGTCCTGGAAGACCGGGGGGGATTTTGGGGGGTCCTGGGAGGATCACGAAGGAAATTTTGGGGGTCCCGGGGCGGATTTTGGGGGTCCCGGGGCGGATTTTGGGGGGGATTTTCGGGGTCTCTCCCCCTCTCACCTGTGCTCGGTGTCGCCGCCGCCGCCGCTGCCAGGAGGAGCAGGAGGATCCCGGTGGTCCCGAATCCCCTCCCGGTGGTCCCGGATCGGTTCCCGGTGGTCCCGGCTCCCATCCCGGCCGTTCCCGGTTCTGTTTTCGGTCCCGTCCCGGTTCGGGAGCGGAACCGGAGCTTGGAGAGAGCCGGGAGCTCCGAACTGATCCCGGTGCCGGTCCCGGTGCTGATCCCGGTCCCGGTGGCTTCCGGTGCCGCTCCCGGTGCCGGTCCCGGTGCTGATCCCGGTTCTGATCGCTCCCGGTCCAAATCCCGGTGTTTATCCCGCTCCCGGTGGTTCCGTGTTCTGATCCCGGTGCTTATCCCGATCCCGGTGGCTCCCGGTGTTAATCCCGGTTCTAAACCCGATCCCGGTGCTTATCCCGGTACCGGACGCTCCCGATCCCAGTTCTGATCCCAGTCCCGGTCCCGGTGCCGATCCCGGTGTTAATCTCGGTCCTGGTCGCTCCCGGTCCCGGTTGTGATCCCGATCCCGGTGCTTATCCCGGTCCCGGTCGCTCTCGGTGCCGATCCCGGTACAGATTCCGGTCCTGGTTCCGATCCTGACCCCGCTCCCGGTCCAGATCCCAGTTTTTATCCCGGTCCCGGACGATCCCAGTCCCGGTACAGGTCCCGATCCCGGTCGCGGTGCCGATCCCGGTTCAGGTCCCAATCCCGCTCCCGGTCCCGGTGCCGATTCCCGGTGCTTATCCCGGTACCGGACGCTCCCGGTCCAGATTCTGATCCCGATCCCGGTCCCGGTCTCTCCCAGTCCCGGTCCCGGTGCCGGTTCAGGTCCCGGTGCCGATCCCGGTTCCGATCCCGGTCCAGGTCCCGGTGCCGGTGCCGCTCCCGCTCCCTCCCGCCGTCCCGCGGCCGCGGCTCCGCTCGGGCCCCATTTAACGGGCGGGGGGCGGAGCCCGGGGCGTTCAAAAAGGGGGAGGGGAGGGGGGGGAGGGGAGGGGAGGGAGGGGCGGGAAAACCGGGATAAAGGGAGGAAACCGGGAAAGGAAACCGGGAATGAGGGGCGGGAAAATCGGGATAAAGGGAGGAAAACCGGAAATAAGAGAGGGAAAACCGGGAATGAGGGAGGGGCGGGAAAACCGGGATAAAGGGAGGAACCGGGAAAGGAAACCGGGAATGAGAAAGGGGAACCGGGAGGGGAAATCGGGAATGAGGGGCGGGAAAACCGGGATAAAAGGAGGAAACCGGGAATGGAAACCGGGAATGAGGGGTGGGAAAATGGGAATGAGGGAGGGGAAACCGGGATAAAAGGAGGAAAACCAGGAATGAGAGATGGGCGGGAAAATGGGAAATGAGAGAGGGAAAATCGGGATAAAAGGAAGGAAACCGGGAGGGGAAACCGGGAATGAGGGGCGGGAAAATCGGGAAAGGAAATCGGGAATGAGGGTGGGAAAAGAGGGAGGGAAAACCGGGATAAAAGGAGGGAAACCGGGAAAGGAAACCGGGAATGAGGAGTGGGAAAAGAGGGACGGAAAATCGGGAATGAGAGAGGGAAACCGGGAAAAATTGAGGGAAAGGGGGAAGGAAATTCGGGATAAAGGGAGGAAATCCGGGCAGGAAAAATCGGGATAAAGGGACGGAAAAGCAGGAAGGAGAAAGGGGCTTCATTTCCCCATTTTCCATCCCCAAAAATTCCCCCCAAACACTTCTCAGGAACCTTAAATCCCCTCCTAGGGAGCCCCAAATTCCCAATTCCCACCCAGGGACCCCAAAAATCCCCTCTGGAACCCCCAAAAATCCCCTCTGGAACCCCAAAATCCCCCAAAATCACCCCAAAAACTCCTCTGGAACCCCCAGGGAGCCCCAAAATCGCCCCAAAATCCCCCATTTCCCCTCCCCCCCCCCCCTTGATTAATTCATGAATTAATTCATTCATTAACTCTGGACTCGGCTCCCGCTGGATTAATTAATTTATTAATTAATTCTCGACCGTCGGGGACCCAGGGGCAGCGACAGCGCCGGGGGCGGGGGAGGGGCCGGGACAGCCCAAGGCGGAGCCGGGGGGGGGTTGGGAACACCCGGGGGGGGTTTGGGATGGTCCAGGATGGATTTGGGATGGCCCAGGATGGTCCAGGATGGATTTGGGATGGCCCAGGATGGTCCAGGATGGATTTAGGAACATCCAGGATGGTCCAGGATGGATTTGGGATGGTCCAGGATGGATTTGGGATGGTCCAGGATGGTCCAAGATGGATTTGGGAACACCCAGGATGGTCCAGGATGGATTTAGGAACATCCAGGATGGTCCAGGATGGATTTGGGATGGTCCAGGATGGTCCAAGATGGATTTGGGATGGTCCAAGATGGATTTGGGAACACCCAGGATGGTCCAAGATGGATTTGGGATGGTCCAGGATGGTCCAGGATGGATTTGGGATGGCCCGAGGGGATTTAGGAGCATCCATGATAGATTTGGGGTGGTCCAGGATGGTCAAAAATGGATTTAGGATGGTCCAGGATGGATTTGGGATGGCCCAAGGGGATTTAGGAACACCCAGGATGGTCCAGGATGGATTTGGGATGGTCCAAAGGGATTTAGGAACATCCACTATGGATTTGGGATGGTCCAGGATGGTCCAGGATGGTCCAGGATGGATTTGGGGTGGTCCAAGGGCATTTAGGAACATCCAGGATGGATTTGGGACGATCCAGGAGGTTTTGGGATGGTCCAGGAGGTTTTGGGATGGTCCAAGATGGATTTAGGATGGTCCAGGATGGATTTGGGATGGTCCAAGAGGATTTAGGAACACCCAGGATGGATTTAGGAACACCCAGGATGGATTTAGGATCACTCAGGATGGATTTAGGATGGTCCAAGGGGATTTAGGATGGTCCAAGGGGATTTAGGATGGTCCAAGGGGATTTAGGAGCATCCAGGACCACCCAAATTTGGGCCAATCTGGACCTGGGACCACCTGGGACCATCTGGACCAACCCAGGCCCACCTGAGATAATCCAGGATGGATTTAGGATCATCCAAGAGGATTTAGGATCACTCAGGATGGATTTAGGATGGTCCAAGGGGATTTAGGAGCATCCAGGATGGATTTAGGTTGGTCCAAGGGGATTTAGGAGCATCCAGGACCACCCAAATTTGGGCCAATCTGGACCTGGGACCACCTGGACCAACCCAGGCCAATCCAGGCCCACCTGGGCTGACCCGGGTATAAATACGGGCGCGGATTTTGGGGTTTTTTCGGGTTTTTTTGGGGATTTTTTTGAGGTTTTTGGGGGTTTTTTTTGGGATTTTCAGGATTTTTGGGAATTGCGGCGTCGCTGCCGTCGGAGCTACGGGGGGAGGGGAATTTGGGTTTTTTTGGGGTTTTTTTTTGGGTTTTTTTTGGGGGGTTTCTCAGAGTTCCGGAGCCGTGGAATGTTCGGGGTTCAGTCGTCCTCGGTGCCGCTGCCGGAGCGATCCTGGGGAGGGATTTGGGGTCAGGTTTGGGGATTTTGGGGTTTTAGGATGGGATTTGGGGGATTTGTGGTTTTGAGATGGGGTTTGGGGGTCAGAATTTGGGATTTGGGGGATTTACAGGTTCAGGATTTGGGATTTGGGGCAGAGATTTGGGATTTTGGGGTTTTAGGATGGGATTTGGGGTCAGGATTTGGGATTTGGGGTTCAGGATTTGGGATTTGGGGTTTTAGGATGGGATTTGGGATTTACGGGGTTTGGGGTCAGGGTTTAGGGTTCAGGATTTGGGATTTGGGGTTCAGGGGTTGGGATTTGGGGTCGGAATTTGGGATTTGGGGTTCAGGATTTGGGGTTTGGGTTCAGCATTTTGGGTTTGGGATCTCTCCCAGGATTCGGGGTTCAGGATCAGGATTTGGGGTCAGGATTTGGGGTCAGGATTTGGGGTTTGGAGTCAGGGTTTGGGGTTTGGGATCTCTCCCAGGATCCGGGATTTTGGGTCAGGATTTGGGATCACTGTCAGGGTTTGGGGTCAGGATTCGGGGTTTGGGATCAGGATTTGGGGTCAGGATTTGGGGTTTGGGGTCAGGATTTGGGGTTTGGGATCAGGATTTGGGTCAGGATTTGGGGTTTGGGGTCCCACCTCCTCCTGCTCGTCGTGGCTCGGGAGGGGTTTGGGGGGCTCAGGATTTGGGGTTCAGGGGTTGGGATTTGGGGGATTTGGGGGTTCAGGATTTGGGGTTTTGGGATAGAATTGGGGATTGGGATTCGGGGTCCCACCTCCTCCTGCTCGTCGTCGCTCTCGTCGTCGCTCAGGAGGGGTTTGGGGCGCCCCCCGCGCCCCCCCCGGCGCCGGCCGCCCTTGCCGCGTTCCGGAACCTTCTCCTTGCGGCCCAGGCGGATCTTCACCTTCACCGAGCGCGCTGGGGGGGACGGGAGCGGGGACTGAGCCGCAACCCCAATCCCAACCCCAATCCCAATCCCATTGATCCCAATCCCAATTCCATTGATCAATCCCAATCCCAACCCCAATCCCAATCCCATTGATCCCAATCCCAATTCCATTGATCAATCCCAATCCCAATCCCAATCCCAATCCCAATCCCATTGATACCAATCCCAATTCCATTGATCCATCCCAATCCCAACCCCAATCCCAATCCCAATCCCAATCCCAATCCCATTGATCCCAATCCCATTGATCCCAATCCCAATTCCATTGATCAATCCCAATCCCAATCCCAATCCCAATCCCAATCCCATTGATACCAATCCCAATTCCATTGATCCATCCCAATCCCAATCCCAATCCCATTGATCCCATCCCAATCCCAATCCCACTGATCCCATCCCAATCCAAATCCCATTGATCCCAATCCCAATCCCATTGATCCATCCCAATCCCAATCCCACTGATCCCATCCCAATCCCAATCCCATTGATCCCAATCCCAATCCCAATCCCATTGATCCAATCCAATCCCATCCAGATCCAATCCCATTGGTCCCATTGATCCCAATGACCCCACCCCATCCCAATCCCATCCCATTGATCCCATCCCAATCCCATGGATCCCATTGATCCCACTGATCCCATCCCATTGATCCCATCCAATCCAATCCCATCAATCCCATTGATCCCATCCCATTGATCCCATTTATCCTACTGATCCCATCCCATTGATCTCATCCGATCAATCCCATCGATCCCGTCCCATCAATCCCATTGATCCCACCCACTGATCCCATCAGTCCCATTGATCCCATCCCATCAACCCCATACAATCTGATTGATCCCATTGACCCCATCCCATTGATCCAATTGATCCCATCAATCCCATTGATCCCATCCAATCCCATTGATCCCATCCCCTCAATCCCATCAATCCCATTGATCCCATTGACCCCATCCAATCCCATTGATCCCATCAATCCCACTGATCCCATCGATCCCATTGATCCCATTGACCCCATCCAATCCCATTGATCCCATTGACCCCCATGATCCCATCGATCCCATTGACCCCATCAATCCCATGGATCCCATTGACCCCATCCAATCCCATTGATCCCATCAATCCCACTGATCCCATCGATCCCATTGATCCCATTGACCCCATCCAATCCCATTGATCCCATCAATCCCATTGACCCCATCCAATCCCATTGATCCCATCAATCCCACTGATCCCATCGATCCCATTGATCCCACTGACCCCATCCAATCCCATTGATTCCATTGACCCCCATGATCCCATCGATCCCATTGATCCCATCCGATCAATCCCATTGATCCAATCCCATTGACCCCGTCCAATCCCATTGATTCCATTGACCCCCATTGATCCCATCGCTCCCATCGATCCAATCCGATCAATCCCATCGATCCAATCCCATTGATCTCATCCAATCAATCCCATTGATCCAATCCCATTGACCCCGTCCAATCCCATTGATTCCATTGACCCCCATTGATCCCATCGCTCCCATCGATCCAATCCGATCAATCCCATCGATCCCATCGATCCCATCTGATCAATCCCATTGATTCCATTGACCCCCATTGATCCCATCGCTCCCATCGATCCAATCCGATCAATCCCATCGATCCCATCCCATTGATCTCATCCGATCAATCCCATCGATCCCATCCCATCGATCTCATCCGATCAATCCCATCGATCCCATCCCATTGATCTCATCCGATCAATCCCATCGATCCCATCCCATTGATCTCATCCGATCAATCCCATTGATCCAATCCCATTGACCCCGTCCAATCCCATTGATTCCATTGACCCCCATTGATCCCATCGCTCCCATCGATCCAATCCGATCAATCTGATCAATCCCATCGATCCCATCCCATCGACCCCACAGCCCCCCCCGCCCCCGGCGCACCCTCGGACTCGGAGCCTTCCTCCTCGGCCTCCTCCTCCTCCTCGCTGTCCTCGCCGTCGCTCTCCTCCTCCTTCTCCACCTTCTGCCGCACGCTGGTGAACACCGACTGCAGCACGATCGAGTCCTCGTAGATCTGCGGGGACGGTCACGCGCGGTCACTCGCGGTCAGTTCTGGTCACTCGTGGTCAGTCTTGGTCACTCGCGGTCAGTTCTGGTCACTCGTGGTCATTCATGGTCAGTCATGGTCACGCGCGGTCACTCGCGGTCAGTTCTGGTCACTCGTGGTCATTCATGGTCAGTCATGGTCACGCGCGGTCACTCGCGGTCAGTTCTGGTCACTCGTGGTCATTCATGGTCAGTCATGGTCACGCGCGGTCACTCGCGGCCAGTTCTGGTCACTCGTGGTCATTCATGGTCAGTCGTGGTCACGCGCGGTCACTCGCGGTCAGTTCTGGTCAGTCTTGGTCACTCATGGTCACTTGTGGTCAGTCATGGTCAGTCATGGTCAGTCATGGTCAGTCGCGGTCACTCGCGGTCACTCGTGGCCAGTTCTGGTCAGTCATGGTCAGTCTTGGTCAGTTCTGGTCAGTCTTGGTCACTCATGGTCACTTGTGGTCAGTCTTGGTCAGTCATGGTCAGTCTTGGTCACTCATGGTCACTCGCGGTCACTCGCGGTCTGTTCTGGTCAGTCTTGGTCACTTGTGGTAACTTGTGGTCAGTCATGGTCACTCATGGTCACTCATGGTCAGTCGTGGTCACCTGTGGTCAGTTCTGGTCACTTGTGGTCAGTCATGGTCACCCATGGTCAGTCATGGTCAGTCCTGGTCACTCATGGTCACTCGTGGTCACTCGTGGTCAGTCATGGTCACTTGTGGTCAGTCATGGTCAGTCCTGGTCACTCCTGGTCACTCGTGGTCACTCGTGGTCAGTCATGGTCACCCATGGTCAGTCATGGTCACCCATGGTCAGTCATGGTCAGTCCTGGTCACTCATGGTCACTTGTGGTCAGTCATGGTCACTCGTGGTCACTCGTGGTCAGTCATGGTCACTCGTGGTCAGTCGTGGTCACTCATGGTCCCTCATGGTCACTCGTGGTCACTCGTGGTCAGTCATGGTCATTCCTGGTCATTTCTAGTCACCCATAGTCACTCCTGGTCATTCTTGGTCACTCCAGGTCACTCCTGGTCAGTTCTGGTCTTCCCTGGTCACTCTTGGACATTCCTGGCCACCCCAGGTTGTCCCACCCAGGTTGTCCCACCCAAGGTTCTCCTACCAGAGACCCCTCGAGGTTGAAGGTCTGGAGCAGCATCACGTCCTTCTCCAGGTGCCACCCCAGGTTCCATCCCACCACAGATCCCACCCCAGGTTGTCCCACCCCAGGTTGTCCCCTCCGGGTTGTCCTCTCCAAGGTTCTCCTACCAGGGACCCCTCCAGGTTGAAGGTCTGGGCGTTCTGGCCCAGGTTGTCCCTCACAGATCCCACCCCAGGTTGTCCCATCAGGGTTGTCTCCTCCAGGTTGTCCCACCCCAGGTTGTCCCCTCCAGGTTGTCCTCCCCAAGGTTCTCCTACCAGGGACCCCTCCAGGTTGAAGGTCTGGGCGTTCTGGCCCAGGTTGTCCCTCACAGATCCCACCCCAGGTTGTCCCCTCCAGGTTGTCCTCTCCAAGGTTCTCCTACCAGAGACCCCTCCAGGTTGAAGGTCTGGGCATTCTGGCCCAGGTTGTCCCTCACAGATCCCACCCCAGGTTGTCCCCTCCAGGTTGTCCTCTCCAAGGTTCTCCTACCAGAGACCCCTCCAGGTTGAAGGTCTGGGCGTTCTGGCACAGCAGCATCACGTCCTTCTCCAGGTCGTTGAGGCTCCGGTATTTGTGGTTCCGGATCCGTTCCTGGCCGGGAGGAACCGCGGTCAGGGTGGGGCCTGGTGGAGCCCAGGAGATCCTGGTGGACCCCGGTGGATCCTGGTGGAGCCCAGGAGATCCTCAAGGAACCTCAAGGAACCTCCAGGAACCCCAAGGAACTTCAAGGATCCAGTGGTGGACCCCAGTAGAACCTCAAGGAACCTCCAGGAACCTCGAGGATCCACTGATGGATCCTGGTGGACCCTGGTGGACCCCAGTGGATCCTGGTGGACCTCAGTAGATCCTGATGGGTCCCATCCCGGTAGATCCCATCCTGGTGGACCCCAGTGGAACCTGGTGGACCCCTGTAGATCCTGGTAAACCCTGGTGGACCCCAGAAGATCCTGGTGGATCTCAGTAGAACCTGGTGGACCCCGATGGATCCTGGTGAACCCCAGTAGATCCCCATGGACCCCGATGGACCTCAGTGGACCCTGGTGGACCCCAGTAGATCCTGGTAGACCCCAATTGACCCTGGTGGACCCCAGTGGATCCCGGTGGACCCCAGTAGATCTCAGTGGATCTTAATGGTCCCCAGTAGATCCTGGTGGACCCCAATGAATCCTGGTGGACCCCGATGGACCCTGGTGGACCCCAGCAGACCCCAGTGGACCCTGATGGATCCTGGTGGACCCCGGTGGATCCTGGTGGACATTGGTGAACCCTGGTGGACACTGGTGGACCCCAGTGGATCCTGATGGACCCTGGTGGATCCTGGTGGACCCTGATGGACCCTGGTGGACCCTGATGGATCCTGGTGGACATTGGTGGATCCTGGTGGACCCTGATGGACCCTGGTGGACCCCAGGAGATCAGGGTTGATCCTGATGGATCTTGGTGGACCCAGATGGACCCTGGTGGACATTGGTGGATCCTGGTGGACCCTGATGGACCCTGGTGGACCCCAGGAGATCAGGGTTGATCCTGATGGATCTTGGTGGACCCAGATGGACCCTGGTGGACATTGGTGGACCCTGGTGGATCCCCATGGACCCTGGTGGATCCCAGGAGGTCCTGGTGGACCCCGGTGGATCCTGGTGAACCCCAGGAGATCCTGATGGAGCTCAGCGGACCCCGGTGGAGGCCAGGAGATACCTTGATCTTCTTGAAGTCCACGGGCTTGCGGATGAGCTCGTAGTACTCGGGGAGCTCCTTGCGGGACGGCAGCTGGATGAAAACCTCGCTGAGCTGGCGCCCGCTGCTGCTGCGGGGAGGGAGGGGACGCGGCGTCAGCGCGGCCTTCGTCATCACCAGCGTCATCGTCGTCATCGTCACCGTCATCATCATTGTCATCATCGGCATCTCATTATCATCATCGTCGTCATCATTGTCATCGTCATCATCGTTATCATCTCATTATCATCATCATCGTCATCATCGTCATCGTCACCATCATCATCATTGTCATCATCGGCATCTCATTATCATCATCATCGTCATCGTCATCATTGTCATTGTCATCATCGTTATCATCTCATTATCATCATCAGCGTCATCGTCATCATTGTCATCATCATCATCATTGTCATCATCGGCATCTCATTATCATCATCATCGTCATCATTGTCATTGTCATCATCGTTATCATCTCATTATCATCATCATCATCATCGTCATCATTGTCATTGTCATCATCATCATCATTGTCATCATCGGTATCTCATTATCATCATCATTGTCATCATCATTATCATCATCTCATTATCATCATCATCATTGTCATCATCATCATTGTCATCTCATTATCATCATCATCATTGTCATCATTGTCATTGTCATTGTCATCGTCACCATCATCATCATGAGCATCTCATTGTCATCATCATTGTCATCGTCATCATTGTCATTGTCATCATCGGCATCTCATTATCATCATCATCATTGTCACCATCATCATCATCGCATTATCATCAGCAGCATCCCAGTGTCTTCCTCCTCCTCCTCATCATCATCATCGTCATCATCACCATCATCATCGTCATCTTCATTGTCATCGTCACCATCATCATCGTTGCCATCATCGCATTATCATCATCATCATCATCATCTCATTATCATCATCCCAGTGTCCTCCTCATCATCATCATCATCGTCATCATTGTCATTGTCATGGTCATCGTCACCACCATCATCATCAGCATCTCATTATCATCATCATTGTCATCGTCATCATTGTCATTGTCACCGTCACCATCATCATCATTGTCATCATCATCATCATCACATTATCATCAGCAGCACCCCAGTGTCCTCCTCCTCCTCATCATCATCGTCATCATCACCATCATCATCATCATTGTCATTGTCATCGTCACCATCATCATCGTCATCATCGCATTATCATCATCATCATCATCACATAGTCATCATCATCTCATTATCATTGTCATCATCATCAGCACGTTGTCATCATCATCATCATCATCATCATCCTTGTCATCAGCACTATCATCACATTGTCATCATTGTCACTGTCATCATCATCATCATCTCATTATCATCATCTTATCATCATCATCATCATCATCATTGTCATCATAATCATCGTCATCGTCATTGTCACCATCATCATCATTGTCACCATCATCATCACTGTCATCACCACCATCATCATCATCGTCACCACCACCATCATCATCGTCATCATCTCATAATCTTTGTCATCATCATCATCATCATCATCATCACATTGTCCTCCTCATCGTCATCATCACCATCATCACCACCACCATCATCATCATCATCATCATCATCTCATTATCATCATCACGTTGTCATCATCATCATCATCATCATTGTCACCATCATCATCTCATAATCATCGTCATCATCATCACCACATTGTCCTCCTCACCGTCATCATCATCATCATCACCACCATCATCATCAGCAGCAGCATCTCATTATCATCATCATCATCACCATCATCATCATCATCAGCAGCATCTCATCATCATCATCATCATCGTCATCATCATCTCATCCTCATCCTCACCATCATCATCATCATCTCATCATCGTCATCATCATCATCATTGTCATCATCACCATCATCAGCAGCAGCAGCATCATCATCCCCGCATCCTCCTCATCATCATCATCGTCATCATAATCAGCATCAGCATCTCATCATCATCCTCGTCATCATCATCATCGTCATCATCATCATCACATTGTCATCATCACCACCATCACCATCATTGTCATCATCATCATCATCCCATTGTCCTCATCATCATCATCATCAGCCCATTATCCTCATCTTGTCCTCATCATCATCAGCATCATCATCATCACACTGTCCTCATCATCACCTCATAATCTTCAGCCCATTACCCTCATCCTCATCATCTTATCATCTCATCATCATCACATTGTCCTCATCATCCTCATCCTCATCCTCATCCTCATCATCTCATAAACGTCGGCGTCAGCCGTGACCTTCCTCGTCCCTGCTCCTCACCTGAGCCTGCAGGAACCCTCCATCCTCACGTGTCCTCCTCACCTTGTCCTTGTACTTGATGATGTCCAGGCCCACCAGAAACCCCCAGGAACCTCCAGGCCCACCTGGAACCTTCTACCATCACCTGGAACCCTCCAGGAACCAGCAGGAACCGCCCATCCCGACGTGTCCTCCTCACCTGTCCTTGTACTTGATGACAACCAGGAACCTCCAGAACCTTCAGAACCCTCCAGACCCACCTGGAACCTCCAGGAACCCCCAGGAACCTGCAGGAACCGCCCATCCCGACGTGTCCTCCTCACCTGTCCTTGTACTTGATGACAACCAGGAACCTCCAGAACCTTCAGAACCCTCCAGACCCACCTGGAACCTCCAGGAACCCCCAGGAACCTGCAGGAACCGCCCATCCCGACGTGTCCTCCTCACCTGTCCTTGTACTTGACAACAGCCAAGAACCTTCAGAACCTCCAGGAACCTTCAGAACCCTCCAGACCCACCAGGAACCTGCAGGAACCGCCCATCCCGACGTGTCCTCCTCACCTGTCCTTGTACTTGATGACGGCGTCCACGATCTTGCGCATCTTGCGGGTCAGGGGCGGTGGGTTCGGGGACAACTTCTCGGCCGGGGGTCGGCCGCGCTTCTTCTGCTTCCGAATCTCCTCGTCCTTGTCGCGGCTCCGGGCGCCCGCCGGGGGTCCCGGGGGTCCCTCGGGCTCCCGCTTGCGCTTGCGAGAGGACTTCTTCTGGCGGACCTCCTCCTCGATCTCCTCCAGGGTGCCCTCCTCGATGGCCTGGTGGTGGAGACAAGGGGATTTAGGATCTAAAGGGATTTAGGACCATTTCCATCTCAGAGGGTTTGGGACCATCCCAATCCAGAGAACTTCTTCTGGTGGACCTCCTTCTCCTGGATCTCCTCCAGGGTGCCCTCCTCGATGGCCTGGGGAGGAACCAAGGGGATTTAGGATCTACAGGGGTTTGGGATCTACAGGGGTTTGGGATTTATGGGGTGGTGGAACCAAAGAGATTTGGGATCTACAGGGGTTTGGGACCATCCCAATGCAGAGGACTTCTTCTGGTGGACCTCCTCCTCCTGGATCTCCTCCAGGGTGCTGTCCTCGATGGCCTAGGGGGGAACCAAGGGGATTTAGGATCTACAGGGGTTTGGGATCTACAGGGGTTTAGGACCATCTCAATCTCAGAGGGTTTGGGATTTTGGGGTCCAAAGGTGTTTGGGACCATCCCAATTCCAGAGGACTTCTTCTGGTGGACCTCCTTCTCCTGGATCTCCTCCAGGGTGCTCTCCTCGATGGCCTGGGGGGGAACCAAGGGGATTTAGGATCCAAAGAGATTTGGGCTCCTTGGGATTTGAGCTCCTTGGGATTGGAGATCTTTGGGGTGGTGGATCTACAGGAACTTGGGATCTACAGGGATTGGAGAACCTTGGGATTAGGCATCCTTGGGATTTGTGGTCTCCATTGATTTGAGATGGAACTGGAGATCCTTGGAAATGAAGAACCTTGTGGTGGATCCATGGGGACTTTGGATCTACAGGGACTGGAGAACCTTGAGGTGGTGGATCTTTGGGATTGGAGAACCTTGGGATTGGAGATCTTTGGGACTGGAGAACCTTAGGACTGGAGATCCTTGGGGTGGTGGATCCACAGGAACTTGGGATCTACAGGGACTGGAGATCCTTGGGATTGGAGATCCTTGAGATTTAGGATCTCCAGTGATTTGAGATCCTTGGGACTGAAGAACCTTGGGAATGAAGAACCTTGGGGTGGTGGATCCATGGGGACTTTGGATCTACAGGAACTGGAGATCCTTGAGGTGGTGGATCCTTGGGATTTAGGATCCTTGGGATTTAGGATCTCCAGGGATTTGGGCTCCTTGGGACTGGAGAACCTTGAGATTGGAGATCTTTGGGTGGTGGATCCACAGGAACTTGGGATCTACAGGGACTGGAGATCCTTGAGGTGGTGGATCCTTGGGATTGGAGATCTTTGGGACTGGAGATCTTTGGGACTGGAGATCTTTGGGACTGGAGAACCTTGGGATTGGAGATCTTTGGGATGGTGGATCCACAGGAACTTGGGATCTACAGGGACTGGAGAACCTTGGGACTGGAGATCCTTGGGATTTAGGATCCTTGGGATGGTGCTCCCACCCCACCAGGTGCCACCACCAGGTGCCACCACCACCACCACCCAATTCCACCACCAGGCGCCACTATCAGATGCCACCACCACCACCACCATGTGAGGTCCCACCTTGAGCCACTGCTTCTCGGTCAGCGAGTCGCTGTAGTCGACCTCCTTGGGGTTTGGGATCTCCAGGGATTCGGGCTCCTCCAACCCCATGAGATGCCACCACCACCACCACCAGGTGCCACCACCAGGTACAACCACCAGATGCCACCACGAGATGAGGTCCCACCTTGAGCCACTGCTTCTCGGTCAGCGAGTCGCTGTAGTCGACCTCCTTGCGGTGCCGGGAGCCGCGGCCGAACATCTTCTCCTCCTCCTCCTCGCAGGTCAGGCGCTCGACCTCGGCGTCGTCCTTGAGGATCCACGACGGGAGCTCGTCCTCCTCCATCAGCCGCGGCTTCCGCTTGGGGTTCCGCGCCTCCTCCCGCCGCCGGTCCAGGTCCATGCGCTGGTGGGACGGGCAGGAAGGGGTTAATGGTGGACGTCTGAGGTGGGATGGATCTTCTGAGGAGACTGGGGAACATCTGAGGTGGGGTTGTGGTTTTTGGATGGATCTTCTGAGGTGGGATCTGGGATATCTGAGGTGGGATGGGGTGAGGAACATCTGAGGTGGGATCAGGGAGATCTGAGGTGGGATGGATCCTCTGAGGAGATCAGGGCCATCTGAGGTGGGATTGGGGAACATCTGAGGTGGGATCAGGGATATCTGAGGTGGGATGGGGTGAGGAACATCTGAGGTGGGATCAGGGAGATCTGAGGTGGGTTTGGGGAGATCTAAGGTGGGATGGATCTTCTGAGGAGATCAGGAACATCTGAGGTGGGATTGGGGAACATCTGAGGTAGGATGGGGTGAGGAACATCTGAGGTGGGATCAGGGAGATCTGAGATGGGATGGATCTTCTGTGGTGGGATGGATCTTCTGAGGAGATCAGGAACATCTGAGGTGGAATTGGGGAACATCTGAGTCAGCGTCAGGGAGATCTGAGGTGGGATGGATCTTCTGAGGAGACCAGGGTCATCTGTGGTGGTATCGGGGCCATCTGAGGTGGGGCTGGGGACATCCGAGGTGGGATGGATCTTCTGAGGAGATTGGGGAATATCTGAGGTGGGATTGGGACCATCCAAGGTGGGATCAGGGATATCTGAGGTGGGACTGGGGCCATCTGAGGTGGGATGGGGAGCTCGTCCTCCTCCATCAGCCGCGGCTTCTGCTTGGGGTTCCGCGCCTCCTCCTCCTCCTCATCTCCTCCTCCTCCTCATTTCCTCTTCCTCATCTCCTGCTCCTCTTCCTCTTCATCTCTTCCTCCTCTTCCTCAGGAGATCTTCCTCCTCTCCCATCTCCTCTTTCCCCATCTCCTCCTCCCGCCCTTCCTCCCTCTCTTCCTCCTCCTCCTCCTCATCTCCTGCTCTTCTTGCTCAGGAGATCTTCCTCATCCCGTGTCCCTCTTCCTCATCTCCTGCTCCTCTTCCTCCTCATTTCCTCCTCCTCTTCCTCAGATCTTCCTCCTCTCCCATCTCCTCCCATCTTTCCTCCTCCTCCTCCTCCTCCTCTTCATCTCCTGTTCCTCCTCCTCCTCCTCCTCATCTCCTGCTCCTCTCCCTCATCTCCATCTCCTCTTCCTCCTCCTCCTCCTCCTCCTCCTCCTCATCTCTTGCTCCTCTCCCTCATCTCCATCTCCTCTTCCTCCTCCTCCTCCTCCTCCTCCTCCTCCTCATCTCTTGCTCCTCTCCCTCATCTCCATCTCCTCTTCCTCCTCCTCCTCTTCCTCCTCATCTCCTGCTCCTCTTCCTCCTCATTTCCTCCTCCTCTTCCTCAGATCTTCCTCCTCTCCCATTTCCTTTTCCTCCTCCTCTTCCTCATCTCCTGCTCTTCCTCCTCATCTCCTCTTCCTCTTCCTCTTCATCTCCTGCTCTTCTTTCTCGGGAGATCTTTCCCCATCTCCTCCTCCTCCTCTCCCCCTTCTCCTCTTCTTCCTCCTCTTCCTCTTTCCCCATCTCCATCTCCTCCTCCTCCTCCTCCTCCCCCCGCCCTTCCTCCCTCCTCCTCCTCCTCCTCACCATGAAGAGGTCGAACTCCTCCTCGTGCCGGGCGATCATCTGGATCTCTGCTTCCTCCCTCCTCCTCCTCATCTCCTTCCTCCTGCCCTTCCTCCCTTTCCTCCTCCTCCTCATCTCCTGCTCCTCTTCCTCATCTCTATCTCCTCTTCCTCCTCCTCCTCTCCCTCCTCAACTCCTCCTCCTCTTCCTCATCATCTCCTCCTCCTCTTCCTCTTCATCTCTTCCTCCTCTTCCTCAGATCTTCCTCCTCTCCCATCTCCTCTTTCCCCATCTCCTCCTCCTCCTCCTCCTCCTCCTCCTCCTCCTCCTCCTCCTCCTCCTCCTCCTCCTCCTCCCCCCGCCCTTCCTCCCTTCTCCTCCTCCTCCTCACCATGAAGAGGTCGAACTCCTCCTCGTGCCGGGCGATCATCTGGATCTCTGCTTCCTCCCTCCTCCTCCTCCTCCTCCTCCTCCTCCTCCTCTTCCTCCTCCTCCTGCCCTTCCTCCCTTTCCTCCTCCTCCTCATCTCCTGCTCCTCTTCCTCATCTCTATCTCCTCTTCCTCCTCCTCCTCTCCCTCCTCAACTCCTCCTCCTCTTCCTCTTCATCTCTTCCTCCTCTTCCTCAGATCTTCCTCCTCTCCCATCTCCTCTTTCCCCATCTCCTCCTCCTCCTCCTCCTCCTCCTCCTCCTCCTCCTCCTCCCCCCGCCCTTCCTCCCTCCTCCTCCTCCTCCTCACCATGAAGAGGTCGAACTCCTCCTCGTGCCGGGCGATCATCTGGTTCACGGTTTCGTCGTCGGGCACCTCATCTTCCTCCTGCAACCCAGATCGGAGCCTTCGGCCTCGGCCCCCGGGACCGCCTGGGGCCCTTCTGGGGCAAATTTGGGGATTTTGGGGTAATTTTGGGGATTTTTTGGGGTTTTTAGGGTATTTTTAGTGGATTTTTGGGGGTTTTTTTTGCCGATTTTTGGGTGCTTTAATTGGGATTTTTTGCTCATTTTTGAGTCACTTAAATGGAATTTTTTGGGTATTTTTAGTGGATTTCTGGCTCATTTTTGAGTGCTTAAAATTGGGATTTTTTGCTCATTTTTGGGTGGTTTATTTTGGTTTTTCTGCCCAATTTTAGGTGGTTTCAGTGGATTTTTGCCCATTTTTGGGTGGTTTAAATTGGATTTTTTGCTCATTTTTGGGTCTTTTTTTGAGTTTTTTTTGCTCATTTTTGGGTCATTTAAACGGAATTTTTTTTGTTCAATATTGGGCGGTTTAAATGGATTTTTCTGGGATTTTTTTGCTCATTTTTGGGTCTTTTTTGGGGTTTTTTGTCCATTTTTGGGGTGGATGTAAAGGGATTTTTTGGGTATTTTTAGTGGATTTTTGGCTCATTTTTGGGTGATTTCTATGGGTTTTTATTTCTCATTTTTGGGTGGATTTTAGGGGTTTTTTTGCTCATTTTTGGGTCTTTTTTTGGGGTTTTCCCCCCATTTTTGAGTGGTTTTTTGGGGTTTTTTTTGGTTCATTTTTGAGTCTTTTTTGGGTCTTTTTTGTCCATTTTTGGGTGGTTTCAGTGGGATTTTTTTGGCATTTTTAGTGGATTTTTGGGTGATTTAATTGCGATTTTTTGCCCATTTTTAGGTGCTTTAATTGGGATTTTTTGCCCATTTTTGGGTGATTTAATTGGGATTTTTTGCTCATTTTTGGGTCTTTTTTGGGGTTTTTTTGCCCATTTTTAGGTGCTTTAATTGGGATTTTTTGCTCACTTTTGGGTGATTTAATTGGGTCTTTTTGGGGGGTTTTTTGCTCTTTTTTGGGTGGTTTAAATGGGATTTTTTTGGTACTTCTAGTGGATTTTTGGCTCATTTTTAGGTGGTTTAAATCAATTTTTTTTCTCATTTTTGGGTCTTTTTGGGGTTTTTTTTTGTCCATTTTTTGGTGCTTTCAGTGGAGTGTTTTGGTTGGATTTTTGGGTTTTTTTCCCCATATTTGGGTGATTTAAATGGGATTTTTTGATCATTTTTGGATGGTTTTTTTGGGTTTTTCTTCACTTTTTTGGGTGGTTTAAATGGGGTTTTTTTTGGGTATTTTCAGTGGATTTTTGGCCCATTTTTGGGTGGTCTAAATGAGTTTTTTTGGGTAGTTTTTTTGCTTATTTTTGGGTGGTTTTAGTGGCTTTTTGCTCGTTTTTGGGTGGCTTTTTTGGCTCAAATTTGGATGCTTTAATTGGGATTTTTTGCTCATTTTTGGGTCATTTAAATGGAATTTTTTGGGTGTTTTTAGTGGATTTCGGGCTCATTTTTGGGTACTTTCAATGGGGTTTTTTGCTCATTTTTGGGAGGTCTTAGTGAATTTTTTTCTTGTTTTTGGGTGGTTTAAATCAATTTTTTTCTCATTTTTGGGTGGTTTAATTGTGGATTTTTGCCCATTTTTGGGTGGTTTAAATGGGTTTTTGTGGGGTTTTTTTTGGGTTTTTCGTTCATTTTTTAGAGGATTTTTGCTCGTTTTTGGATGGTTTAAATTGGGATTTTTGCCCATTTTTTGGTGGTCTGAATGGGCTTTTTTGGGTGGTTTCAGTTGATTTTTTTGCATATTTCCAGGTAGTTTAAATAGATTTTTTTCTCATTTTTGGGTGCTTTAAATGGGATTTTTTTGCTCATTTTTAGGGTTTTTTTTTGCTTTTTTGCTTATTTTCAATGTTTTTTCCTCATTTTTGGGTGGTTTAAACAGAATTTTTTCCTCTTTTTTGTGTAATTTCCATAATTTTTCCACTTTTTCCTGTATTTTTCCCCATTTTGAAGCATTTTCATCCCAATTTCCTCTTTTATTTTTACATTTCACCCCATTTCAGATTGGTTCTATAACAATTTTTTAATTTTTTTGTGCCATTTCCAACTCAATTTTTGCCTTTTTGGACATTTTTTATCCATCTTCGCCGCTTTCAATTTATTTTAATTTTTTCTCCTTTTTTTCATTTTTATTTTCCCCTCATTTCAACTTTCAGCCAAATTTTCTTCGTTTTTGGCCATTTTTGAGTCTTTTTTTTTTGCAATTTTTAACTCATTTTACCTGAATTTGGGCCAATTTTTCTCCTTTTTTTGCATTTTCAGGACATTTTTCCTCATTTTCACCCCTTTAAAATCAGATTTTAATTCACTTTTCCAACTTCCAGGCCAATTTTTTCCCTTTTTTTTTTTGCTTTTTCAGGTCGATTTTAACTGAATTTTGGCATTTTTAACTCATTTTTTGCTGTTTTTAGGCTGTTTCTAAATAATTTTTACCACTTTTTATTCATTTTAATTAACTTTTCCCCCACTTTTGTCCCTTCCAAGCCATTTTAATCTGATTTTTGTCACTTTCAGGCTGATTTAAAGCAATTTTTGCCTTTTTTAAGCCATTTTCACCCCATTTTTGGTGTTTTCAGTCCCCTCCTAATTCATTTTTGGCCATTTCAGGCCATTTAAATCTCATTTTTTGCACTCTCAGGTTGTTTAAAATCTCATTTTTTGCCCTTCCAAACCGTTATAAATCTCATTTTTGGTTCTTCTAAGCCACTTCAATCTCATTTTTAGTCATTAAAATCTCATTTTTGGTCCCTTGAAGTCACTTAAATCTCATTTTTGGTTCTTTCAATCTCATTTCTGGTCCTTCCACGCTACATAAATCTCATTTTTGGCCCTTTCAATCCAACTTTTGGCCATTTCAATCTGATTTTTGGCCATTTAAATCTGATTTTTGGCCATTTCAATCTGATTTTTGGCCATTTCAATCTGATTTTTGGCCGTTTAAATCTCATTTTTGGCCATTTCAATCTGATTTTTGGCCATTTAAATCTCACTTTTGGCCATTTAAATCTCTTTTTTGGCCCTTCCAAACCACTTAAATCTCATTTTTGGCCACCTCAGACCATTTCAATCTCAGTTCTGGCCCTTCCACACTACAAAAATCTCATTTTTGGTCCTTCTAAGCCACTTCAGTCTCACTTTTGGCTCTTTCAATCTCAATTTTGGCCCTTCCAAGCCATTTCAATCTCACTTTTGGCAATTTAAATCTCATTTTTTTGCCCTTCCAAGCCACTTAAATCTCACTTTTGGTCATTTCAATCTCATTTTTGACTGCTTCAATCTCACTTTTTGCCCCTCTGAGCCACTTCAATCTCACTTTTGGCCATTAAATCTCATTTTTGGCCACTTAAATCTCATTTTTGGCCATTAAAATCTCATTTTTGGCCACTTAAATCTCATTTTTGGCCCTTCTAAGCCATTTCAATCTCACTTTTGGCCATTAAATCTCATTTTTGGCCACTTCAATCTCATTTTTGGCCCTTCTAATCCATTTCAATCTCATTTTTGGCCATTAAAATCTCATTTTTGGCCACTTCAATCTCATTTTTGGCCATTAAAATCTCATTTTTGGCCACTTAAATCTCATTTTTGGCCCTTCTAATCCATTTCAATCTCATTTTTGGCCATTAAAATCTCATTTTTGGCCACTTCAATCTCATTTTTGGCCATTAAAATCTCATTTTTGGCCACTTAAATCTCATTTTTGGCCCTTCTAAGCCATTTCAATCTCACTTTTGGCCATTAAAATCTCATTTTTGGCCACTTCAATCTCACTTTTGGCCATTTCAATCTGATTTCTGACACTTTCAGCCTCTTTCAATCTCACTTTTTGCCCTTCCAGTCCATTTCAATCTCACTTTTGGCTCTTCTAAACCATTTAATCTCAATTTTGGCCATTCTAAGCCATGGAAATCTCATTTTTTTTTTGCCTTTCCAAACCATTTCAATCTCACTTCCGGCCCTTCCAAGCTCCTTCGATCTCACTTTTGACCATCTCGGACCATTTCCAATCCCGTTTTTGGCCATTTCAATCTCATTTATTTCCCTTCCAAGCCACTTAAATCTCACTTCTGTCACTCTCAGACCATTTCAATCTCATTTCTGGCCATTCCAAGCCACTTAAATCTCATTTTTGGCCACTTCAATCTCATTTTTGGCCACTTAAATCTCATTTTTGGCCATTTAAATCTCATTTTTGGCCACTTCAATCTCATTTTTGGCCACTTCAATCTCATTTTTGGCCATTTAAATCTCATTTTTGGCCACTTCAATCTCATTTTTGGCCACTTCAATCTCATTTTTGGCCCTTCCAAGCCATTTCAATCTCACTTTTGGCCATTTCGATGCCATATTTTGCCCTTCCAAGCCATTTTAATTTCACTTTTTGCCCTTCCAAGCTACTGAAATCCCATTTTTGGCCACTCAAATCTCACTTTTAGCCATTTCAACCTCATTTTGGGCCCTTCCAAGGCACTTAAATCTCATTTTTGGCACTCTCAGCTTGTTTCAATCTCACTTTTGGCCCTTTCTAGCCACTTAAATCTCATTTTTGGCCACTTAAATCTCATTTTTGGCCACTTAAATCTCATTTTTGGCCATTTCAATCTCACTTTTTGCCCTTCCAATCCATTTCAATCTCACTTTTGGTCCATCCGAGCCACTTAAATCTCATTTTTGGCCCTTCCAGTCCATTTCAATCTCACTTTTGACCATCTCGGGCCATTTCAATCTCATTTTTGGGCATTTAAGAGCATTTCAATCTCATTTCTGGCCCTTCCAATCCATTTCCATCTCATTTTTGTTCCTTCCAAGCCACTTAAATCTCATTTCTGGTTCTTCTAATCCATTTCAATCTCACTTTTGGCCATTAAAATCTCATTTTTGGCCACTTAAATCTCATTTTCGGCCCTTCCAAGCCACTTCAATCTCACTTTTGCCCATTAAACCTCACTTTTGGCCACTCTAATCCATTTCAATCTCATTTTTGCCCATTTAAATCTCACTTTTGTCCTTTCCAGGCTCTTTAAATCTCACTTTTGGGCACCCTAAGCCACTTAAATCTCACTTTTGGCCATTTAAATCTCACTTTTGGCCACTTAAATCTCACTTTTGGCCATTTAAATCTCATTTTTGGCCACTTAAATCTCACTTTTGGCAACTTAAATCTCATTTTTGGCCACTTAAATCTCACTTTTGGCCACTTAAATCTCATTTTTGGCCATTTAAATCTCACTTTTGGCCACTTAAATCTCATTTTTGGCCACTTAAATCTCACTTTTGGCCACTTAAATCTCACTTTTGGCCACTTAAATCTCATTTTTGGCCATTTAAATCTCATTTTTGGCCACTTAAATCTCATTTTCGACCCTTCCAGGCCATTTCAATCTCACTTTTGGCCCTTTCTACCTACTTAAATCTCACTTTTAGCCACTTCAATCTCACTTTTGTCCCTTCCAAGTCATTTCAATCTCATTTCTGTCACTCTCAGGCTCTTTCAATCTCACTTTTGGTCCTTCTAAACCATTTCCATCTCACTTTTGACTCTTCCAAGCCACTTAAATCTCATTTCTGGCACTCTCAGACCGTTTTAATCTCATTTTTTTGCCCTTCCAAGCCACTTAAATCTCATTTTTTGCCACTCTAAGCCATTTCAATCTCATTTTTTGCCCTTCCAGGCTCTTTAAATCTCACTTTTGGGCACCCTAAGCCACTTAAATCTCATTTTTGGGCATTTAATTCTCACTTTTGACTCTTCCAGGCCATTTCAATCTCACTTTTGGCCCTTTCTACCTACTTAAATCTCATTTTTGGCCACTTAAATCTCATTTTTGGCCACTTAAATCTCATTTTTGGCCATTTAAATCTCACTTTTGGCCACTTAAATCTCATTTTTGGCAACTTAAATCTCATTTTTGACCACCTAAATCTCATTTTTGGCCACTTAAATCTCACTTTTGGCCACTTAAATCTCATTTTTGGCCACTTAAATCTCATTTTTGGCCACTTAAATCTCATTTTCGACCCTTCCAGGCCACTTCAATCTCACTTTTGCCCATTAAACCTCACTTTTGGCCACTCTAAGCCATTTCAATCTCATTTTTTGCCCTTCCAGCCTCTTTAAATCTCACTTTTGAGCACCCTAAGCCACTTAAATCTCATTTTTGGGCATTTAATTCTCACTTTTGACCCTTCCAGGCCATTTCAATCTCACTTTTGGCCCTTTCTACCCACTTAAATCTCATTTTTGGCCATTTAAATCTCACTTTTGGCCACTTAAATCTCATTTTTGGCCACTTAAATCTCATTTTTGGCCACTTAAATCTCACTTTTGGCCACTTAAATCTCACTTTTGGCCACTTAAATCTCATTTTTGGCCACTTCAATCTCACTTTTGGCCATTTAAATCTCACTTTTGGCCATTTAAATCTCATTTTTGGCCACTTAAATCTCACTTTTGGGCGTCCTAAGCCACTTAAATCTCACTTTTGGCCATTTAAATCTCACTTTTGGCCATTTAAATCTCATTTTTGGCCACTTAAATCTCATTTTCGACCCTTCCAGGCCATTTCAATCTCACTTTTGGCCCTTTCTACCTACTTAAATCTCATTTTTGGCCACTTAAATCTCATTTTTGGCCACTTAAATCTCATTTTTGGCCATTTCAATCTCATTTTTGGCCATTTCAATCTCATTTTCGACCCTTCCAGGCCATTTCAATCTCACTTTTGGCCCTTTCTACCTACTTAAATCTCACTTTTGGCCACTTCAATCTCATTTTTGGCCACTTGAATCTCACTTTTGGCCACTTCAATCTCATTTTTTGACCCTTCCACACTCCCTAAGTTTGATTGTTTTGCTCTTTCCTGTCCCCGGTGCGTGCGGGTGCGCTCGGGCAGTGGAGACTGAAGGGCCCCGCTCACCTTCAGAGGAGTTTCCTCGGCCTCAGGGCCCAGGGAGCCACTGCAGTGTCTGCTCTGCGGATAAACACACGCATTCAGTCTCCAGGGCCTTTCCGAACAACTTTAATATTATTTTTAATATTTTTTTTATAATTTTTGTTTTTATTTTTCTCGGGTTTTTTTTCTCCCCCCCCCCCCTAAAAAAATTCCGAGCAGGCGGCTCCTCACGCTCCCTGCTCTCGGGGTTGGGGTTTTTTTTTTTTTTGGGTTTTCGAATTTTTTTTTTTTATTTTTTTTTTTTTGGCGTGAAAATTCAATTTTTTTTTTTTTTTTTTTTTTTTTTTGGTTTTTGTTGGGAATTCTTTTTTCTCAGTCCCCAAAATTCTCATTTTTTTTCAATCCTAGAATTCTGGGGGTTTTTTTTTCTCACTCCTACAATTCTCATTTTTTTTTTTTTTTTTTTACTCCTAAAATTCCTTTTTTTTTGTTTTGTTCAAAATTATCTTTTTTTTTGTGACCCCTAAAAAATTCTCATTTTTTCACTCCTAAAAATTCTCATTATTTTTTTTTCTGACTCCCACAGCTCTCATTTTTTTCCTAAAAATATCCTAGAGAATTCTCATTTTTCACTCCTAAAACTCTCATTTTTTTCCTAAAAAATTCTCATTTTTCCTTTCTAAAATTCTCATTTTTTCCTAAAAAATTCCTAAAAAATTTTTATTTTTTCCTCCTAAAAAATTCTCATTTTTCACTCCTAAAACTCTCATTTTTCTCAAAAAAAATTCCCTAAAAAATTCTCCTTTTTCCTCCTAAAACTCTCATTTTTCTCCTAAAAAATTTGAATTTTTCCCATTTTTTACCTCGTCCTGCTCCTCGTGCTCGAGGATGGCCTGCAGGAAGGCCCTGCGCTCGTGGCAATTCTCCTTATTTGACTCCTAAAACTCTCATTTTTCACTCCTATAATTCTTATTTATTTCTCACATCTAAAAAGTTCCCATTATTTTTTTTTTTCACTCCTAAAATTCTCATTTTTTTCCCTCCTAAAATTCTGGTTTTTTTCCTTCTCACACCTAAAAAAATTTAATTTTTTTCCTAAAAAATTCTCATTTTTTCACTCCTAAAAAATTTCAATTTTTTCCTTCTCACACCTAAAAAAACTTAATTTTTTTCCTAAAAAATCCCTAAAAAAATTCTCATTTTTTTCCCTCCTAAAATTCTCTTTTCTTTCCTTCTCACACCTAAAAAAGCTTAATTTTTTTTCTCAAAAAATCCCTAAAAAAATTCTCATTTTTTCACTCCTAAAATTCTTTTTTTTCCTTCTCACACCTAAAAAAACTTAATTTTTTTCCTAAAAAAATCCCTAAAAAAACCCTCATTTTTTCACTCCTAAAATTCTCATTTTTTCTCTTCTCACTCCTAAAAAATTCAATTTTTTTCCTAAAAAAATTTCGATTTTTTTTTTTTCCTCACTCCTAAAAAACTTGAATTTCTGTTATTTTGTTACCTCGTCCTGCTCCTCGTGCTCGAGGATGGCCTGCAGGAAGGCCCTGCGCTCGTGGCTGGAGGATTTCTGGTCGAACATCCCGGCCTGGATCCAGCCCCTTTTCCCTTTTTTCTTAAATATTTTAATTTATTTCACTCCTAAAACATTCTCATTATTTTTTCCTTACTCCTAAAAACTTCTCATTTTTTCTGACTCCCAAAATTCACATTTTTTCAGTCCTAAAACTCTCATTTTTTCCCCTACAAATTTCCTAACAAAATTCCCATTTTTCACTCCAAAATTCTCTTTATTTTTTTCCTTTGCTCCTAAAAAATTCTCATTTCTTCTCTCCTAAAATTCTCATTTCTTGTCTTCTCGCTCCTAAAAAAAATTTAAATTTTTTCCTAAAAAATCCCTAAAAAATTCTCATTTCTCCTCCTAAAATTCTCATTTTTCACTCCAAAATTCTCTTTATTTTTTTTCCTTCGCTCCTAAAAAATTCTCATTTCTTCTCTCCTAAAATTCTCATTTCTTGTCTTCTCACTCCTAAAAAAAATTTAAATTTTTTCCTAAAAAATCCCTAAAAAATTCTCATTTCTCCTCCTAAAATTC